CATAATCAGCTAAGAGATTGTCCTTCAAAAGATTTTGCAGTTACAAGGCTGAGAATATCACAGTTTTGTCTGGTGTTCATACCAGGATTCTTTAACTGAATTACGCAACAACATGAGAAATTACCAACTCCACAGGCAATCAGACTGTACAGTAAACCAGTGCTACGTTCATGTTTTCCAGCTAGCGCATCAAAGTACCTTTGAGTATCACCATTTAGGCAGGAATACCAGATACAATCCTGTGACTCTAAAAGTCTACTTTACTAAGAAAATAGTTGAATTCAGCATGAAAAGAAAAGAAAACCAAGCAAATACAAAAATAAAAAAGACTACGGGTTTCATCCTTAAGGAGATCTCCCATGCAAAAGTGCCAAGGGACAATTTCCAAACACAGACCCCAGGTGACAAACGTGTTGAAGGTCAATGGCACTCTGCAGGATTAAGATGACTCTCAAGTGACCTGTCTGAGCCCCCGGCACACAACGGACACAAACCACTCGTTTTACCACTTGAGGAGGACCAGGGCAATCATAGCCAAAGCCAGTCATACAAGCAAGTGCCACCAAATCCTTGGGTCCTCTGAAGAACAGAGGTCAGATAAGCATGATTTCAGAGACAGATGATTATGGTTAAAGTTTACAACAAACAACTTTAAACCACTACCAGTTTTAATCTTCTCATCTATAAGCCAAATATGTACCAGTTTTAACACATGGGTTGAGGAAGGTCCACATGTTGAAAAAACACAAGCATTTAAAAGAGTACACAAACACTAGAGCTGGGGGTCATTTTAGTTTTAATAGTTAATGCAGACAACAGTGGTGGATCATTGTTCCTTAAAATTGGTCCTCTCTAGGACATCAAATTATTTAAAGTAAGGAGTATAGAGTTAAATTTGCTTTAAAAGCAAAAGCTTTGAAAACAATTTTTTTATGAACTGGGGACGACTTCTGAAACTTGTAACTGATACAGAAGTGTTGGGGATAAAACATCCCATGTTCCAAAGCCTCTGAACAAGCCTTGTTAAGAACCTCAGACAGAAGTCACATTTCTATGAGTCTTCAAAATTAAATTAATCTAATATTTCATTGTTGGAACATCACTCTAAATGTAAAATTAAGATAAATTGTTCTTCCTTACTACACAGAGTAACATTTTCTGTAGCTAAAAAATTGGTAATGCAAATGTCTAGATCATGATAAGAAATATACCACACAATATGTTACAATTCCATATGAAAATATTTTAGAGAAATTGCTTTAAAAATATACACTGTCAGGCAAAGGGAAAATTAAGTAGCAGCCACCTCCCATACAACACAACCAGGACTGCAAATTACAGGAAAAAGCGTGTACTCAGGTTTCATATTTACTATCACTGAACAGTGATACTTAAAATAAAATAGGTAACGATTTTACATTTCTCTTCAGCTAAGTAAAATATCTAAAGGGAAATAAAACTCCTAGCAAATTCTTCTGTATCATAGATTATCAATAAATGAAAACATTATCATTCTCATGCTGCTAAAAATTACAAGCCAGTATATCCTCTAAAAAAATCATCAATAGATTTTGATATTACTCACCCCACTGGAGAGGAGCCAACTGTAGATGCTCCAGGACCAGTTGATTAAGAACACCTTCCACACTTGCTTCCCCTTCACGCTTCAAGGAAGGGTAAGTTGGAATTAAGGAAAATTTTGTTTCAGAGAGAAAAAGAGCATGCAATACGTACAACTTTTATTACTGCAAATCAAAACTGCAAGCTAGAGATTCACTAAAGGTTAATGCTATATATTTGGTTTATTAACCCATGAATTGGCTAACAATAATGATTACAGCAGTCGAGATCTTCAGAATATAAAACTTTAATTCCACTGAGGAGCGTTAAATACAAAGATGCAAAGGTAAAATGTACCTGAACCATGGTAAAACACAAGGGGAAAAAAGTCTGGAAGCTGTAAAAATGCAGAACCTGTAACTACGTGGTGCAGGATCAGAATTCAAAATCACAAATTAACAGCAATCTGAAAACAAAAAGGATAAAATTTAATAAGGCAATACAAAACAAAATGTGGGCAAGGATAGCTTTGCATGCTGCCTCAGTGCCAGTTCGATGGAGGTACAGGGATGTTAGAGGATGCAGTCACGGTGCTGTTATTGAGGGCAAACATCATACCAGAATCACGCAGGCACATAACCTGCTTCCCTTTCTGCTCACTCCTGTTTGAGCTCAGTAACAAGCTCAGACTGAAACAAGAAAAAATTAGGGAATGTTCTTACTCTAAGGACAGTGAAGAACTGAAATAAACTGTTGGGAAAACCAGAATCTCTATTTTTAAAGGGCTTCAAAACAGGTTACACAAGTGTCAATATAAAAGCTTAGGCAATATGCAAAGATAGTATTTTCCATTTAAACAAATCAATAATAATTTCACATGTTGCATCATACAAGATAACATGTATCTGTAACAGGAAGAGCACTGGATTTCTTTTTTCTAATTCCTTGACTTCAGAAAGGCACTGACTACAAAGGGCTTTGAAGCAAATGCGGATGGCAGCATCATCTTGTATTTGGCCCAAGCTGTGTTCACCAGCTTTGGTACGATATCGTACCTCTAGAAGCCCTTAACTTGGCCAGGTTGAGAGAAAGAAGTGGAGGTGGAGCAAGCACAGCTCCTTCACGGACACACATACAGCATGTGAGCGTCTGCGTACTTACACTGGAACTCTGGCAAAACTTCTGTTGTCTTTAGAGCTTGGCTCATGCTTTGCCAGAATGGGAGCACCACACAGAAACAAAATTCAAGAGAGAGGCAGGATCACCTCTGAGACTTGAACAAACTCCTTTTCCAACTTTGCAATCTTCAAGCGAAAGAACCATAGGTGAAGTGGTGTCCAGCAATAATTAAGGGCTAAGCTCCTAGCAAGGCTGATCAAGTTTCAACTCCAAAAGTACCATCTTCCTCGTAAACTGGTAAACAAAAAAAGAGATGAATATATGCACTTGTATGAAAAGCTACTAAGTGTGATCAGTCCTTTTTCTGCAAAAGTCTGGAAAGAGAGGCACAGCATCTGACTGATAAAGTATGTTCTCATTTGTGTCATTTAAAAGAAAATTAACCAGTACTGCAGATACCTAATTTCTACCACAGGGCATAATTTTACAGGCTCTCCAGAGATTTAAAAGAAAAGTCTTGAAACCTCAGATTAAAATGAGACTAACAATTAGTGATTGAGACTCAAGAGCTCAAGGAGATGATAGAAGAGGAAAATTAATACATTGTATAGCAATTCTTGCAATTTTTTTAATAATTCTATTATACCGTGAAAAATGTCTTAAATAGCTTTTTTTCCACCCCTAAAAGGACTACAAATTAAGAATTTCCAAACCCCAAAGAGTCTGAAAGCCATAAACACCGTTAAAGAAAAGCAACTATTTGGAAAACTGAAGGCAGCAGAATACCACCTCAGAAAATCACAACTGCTGAAAAGTAAGATCCAGGACACCAGCACAACAGAGTAATGTCCATAAACCCAACTATAGGATAGAGAATACGTAACTTGGATTACTTCATAGATGCAGCAGATAAATAATTCTGTTATCACATCACACTAATAAAAAGGCAGTATTTAAAATAAGTTTTAAAGTAGAGTAGATGCCATTAACTGTTAACGTTAAACTAACTTAACTGTAATTTACTTACGACTAGCTCACAGTGGTGTCTGCAATATTACAAATTTTTACTGCTTAAAGCTCCATGGAAAACTTAATGTCTCAGATACCATTATAAAATGACTATAAAATAGGTGATTCTCCATACTTTATCATTGGTAAATGCTATCAAAGAAGATCCACATATTCATAAGGAAAATACATTTTTCAAATTCAACACAACTACAAATTATTTCTGAAGCCAACTGCTTCTTAGATTGGGTGCAAAAAGCATGCATAGCTACACCTCACCTAATAAAAAATGACACACCTACACTTCTTAAATCCTGTGTCCAGTTTTGGTTTCCCAGTTCAAGACACTGAAATAAGGATAAAGGTCCCTGGAGGGTTACCAAGATGATTAGAGAGCTGGAGCGCATAACATATAAAAAGAAGTTGAGAGAACAGGGTTTGTTTGGTCTTGAGAAGAGAACAAAGCCTAAGGAGACATTTTATTGCTGCCTGTTATAGTGGGAGGGTATAGAGAAGATGGAGCCAGACTTTTCTTTAAGGAGCATAGTAATGCGAAGAGGGACAATGGACCCAAGATGCAGGGCAGGGTGTTATACCAGACCTGAAGAGGTTCCTTCCAACCTAAATTATTTTATAATCAAGGTAACCTTGCCATCTTCAGATTACTTCACAGGAAGTGAAGGGCCAGTTTTGACAGGACAAGGGGTAATGACTTTAAATTAAAACAGGGTGAATTTAGACTGGATATAAGGAAGAACTTCTTTACAATGAAGGTGGTGAAACACTGGAATGGGTTGCCCAGAGAGGTAGTGGAGGTCCCATCTCTGGAAACATTCAAGGCCAGGTTGGATGGGGCTCTGAGCAACCTGATCTGGTTAAAGATGTCCCTGCTCACTGCAGGGGGGTTGGGTTAGATGACCTCTAAAGGTCCCTTCCAGCCCAAAACATTCTATGATTCTATGAAGACCTGGCAGTGCCTGTCTTCAGGCAGTGCCTACAGTATTCAGGCTGCCCCACAGGTATGGCAAAATAGACTCAAACATAATGTAAATGCCCAAGTTGCACAAACCAGTTCAGAAAACACGCTTTCCTTTGCCAGCACATCCCAAAACTACTTACCTTAACCAGTAAATAATACCTTACCATCAGAGTATCTAGTTCAGCTTCAGCTCTGCTGCCAAGCAGACTCAAAGACAAAAATCACTGGAGTTGACAGAGAAGCTCAGTATAGTTGGTATAGTCTAATCATTCCTAATGGACACAAATAGCATTGAATTTCGTATCATTGACCTTTATCTCCTGACTGTATATGATGCAATTATATAAAATTGCTCATTATAGTGCAGATACAAACTGAACATTGTAGCAAACTCATCACCCTGGAGATGAAAAGCAACCAAAATATGCAGTAATAGAATGTCAGAGCAAAAAGAGAGAAAAGCTTAACTCAAGAGTTTGTCTATTTTCTAAGACAAGCCTGTAGAAGTCAACAAAAGGAAAGCAGTTGGAACAGGGGGTGCCAATATACCCTTTCATTCATAGCTCAAAGTGGAGCCCGATAAATGACAAAAGTGTAAGGTCCAGAATTTTAAAATCACTGAAAAAAACTGCACAGATAACCGGAAGTACAGACTGCCAAAGTTCAACCTTGTAGAATCTATCTATTTAACTAAGCCACATTTTGCTGAAATCCCACTGTGGTTACAAACCTGCTCTTCCATCGGAGTCAGATTCTTAAATGCCTTTGTCGTCTTAGGCCTCACTTCCAACAGTGAAATCTTTGTTATTAACAACACATGCATCAGCCAGGACTGAAAGAGTTGACTTCTAGTTTCCAGTGCAACTGTTTACATTTGGCAGCTCAAGACATTTGTATGTGCACAATCAAATGAGTTTCAATGGGGGCCTTGGAGCCAACAAACACACAACCACCAGATGCTATTTAAAAAAATAAAACCTAATCCCTCATATTTCACAGTAGACACCTTTATTTCACATTTCTTCAGCAACAGATTGTATATGATATAAAGTGTTTCATACCGAAAACCTGAATGCCAGTCAAATGAACTAGTTATTTCCCCAAGGAAAACTTTGGGCTTTTATAGGGTCTTGATTGTCTAATGTGTAGCTGGGTACCCACAATTATAACACAGCATGATATCTAAAACCTACTGCTTAAAAAGACAATAGATTTTTTAAAAATATTTCTATCTTAAAGCTACTCATGTTTTTTCTCTCTGCAGCATTCTACAACTTGCATCCTTCTAAAAAATATTTATTTTCAGTACCGTATTTCTCAGTTCCTTTGCAGATAAATACAGGTGGAAGTGTGCACACAGTCATAAGCAAATGAACAAATGTTCATAAATAAAAATTATACTCATGAAAAACAAATTTAAATGATTAATGATCACAGTTTATTCAAGCAGTAGCCTTAGTTGTATTTTAAGCTTTCTGCTTTATTATTATTGTGGTACTTTATTATTAAAACTAATTACCCGCAGTTATTGAGGTTCTTAAATAAGTTACTTTCGCAAACAATTGTTGACGCTAAGAAGCTGCATGGAAATGTAAAGCTCCATCCAACTAACGTATTTCTAAGGAAACCTTTACTGATGAACAAAAGTTGCACAACATGCAATATTCTCCTAACTGAAGATTCATAATTATGATCAAGATGAAGTCACCAAGAGCTGAACAGACGAACAGAAAAGTAAATTTCAGTAACAGTTATCAGTGGATTGCTGTCAAGCCCAGACAGCGTATCAAATGAGATGACTCAAGGTTCTGTCTGATACATAATAATTTCAAAATTCTGATTGGCTACTTACATGATGAAATACAAAAACATTAATAAAATTTATGTATTTGGAAAAGATGTCAGTATTCACAAACCTAATAAATGAGTGCAACTCATGAAGATCACTTTGATGAAATTCAATCAAGAAAAGTTCCAAGTATCACCCTGGAAGCAATCAACAAATCTACA